GAATAAAAGTTATTCGAAGAATCTTTGTGCAAAGCAGAGTGATGAACTCCTTTTTGATCCGACGTGTGAATGTTTGTGATGGCGTAAAATTTACCTTTCTTGTATTTCAGTTCATCAATTTCATCTCGCATGCAATAATAAAACGGCGAGACGTTCAACTCCTTGGCCCATTTCACAAGTTGAAAATTTGTGGTCGTGTCTTTTCCGTATTTATCGAGAAACGCATTCATTTTTTAAGTTGATTTTTTTAGGTGTTTTTCGAAGTAGGCGGAAAGTATTGCTGAAGACCCAATTGACGAAATATATACGTAGTTTGTGTTTGAAAAAACTTGTATAACATTCTGATAAAACACATTCAATAATATTTTGAAGATAAATTTACATTTAAATTTAAAAAATCTTAATTTAAGAGAGCGTAAATGCTTGTCGACATCTATATTTCTTAACCTTTCATCTAAATCGTCATTTTCGAGATGCATTTTTAAAAGTCAGTTTTTTGAAGTTCATTTTGATAAAACCTTCCTATGATTTGTTCTTTGTCTTGATCGATCAATTCATACGTGGTAGGTGATGTGTTGTTTACTTTATCAACGATGAATATCTCGTTAGTCCAATAGCCGACGTAACCTTTCTGAAACAATGATTTATATTTAAAAATACGAACTCGATCTCCAACTTTGAATTTGGGTTTAATATTCAAATTGCTAATCTCGTTTTCAAAGTTGTTTTGAGTGTTGACGGACTTTATGATATTCGGGTTATTAGAGGCTTGGGATGGCGTCACACCTATAGACGAATGTATTTTGTTATTATATTCGTCGACAACAACCGGTAATATTTTAAGCCATTTTTGAGATTTCAATTCCGTGAATTTCTTGAATAATTTGCTTTTAAGAGTCCTGTTGAATCTTTCTATCACTACGGCTTTACCTTCGTTATGCGTACTGTAAATTTCAAACCCCAGAGATTTCACATTTCTGTTGTAGAATTCGCTTCCTTTATAAACCCACAACTTTAGGTGTTGTCTGTCGGATTGTTTCATTATGGTTTCGAATGCTTGTTTGACAGTCAGACCCGATTTGTTTTTCAAGGGAAAGACCCAAGCGTATCTCGTGTATAAGTCGATCACCGTCAAACAATACTTGTACCCTCTCTCGACTGGCATGTTGATTAAATCGGCTGACCAAATTTCATCTTTATCAAAAACTTTGACTTTGAGGTAATGTTTGTTTTTTCGAAATTCTTTGTGAATCTCGTCTACCAATTTCAATTTTGCCTTCAAGAGTTTTATGATAAGAGCCCTCTGTAATTTCTCTTTGAAAGTGGGATTGGGAATATTTTCGAGTTCGTCTATCATTTGTTTGTCTGCTTGGTGTCTGAATGATACGTCTTTATTTCTGTACAGTATGTCGTGTTTGGGCGCTGCTGCGTCAACTCTATTAACGGGTTCTTCCCCTGGTTTGGGAATATCATTTTCGTCTAAACGCAGATCTAACCTAGTGCCTGGACCTGTATAATTGTGGCCTGGGAGATGTTTTTCTCCGGGATATTTTGCCCATGGGAATCCAGGAAGAGAACCCAATGACTTTTGAATGTCTACCGCACCGAAATACGTTTTAGGAGGATGGACATTAATTAAAGACATATATTTTTAATACGAAAGATTTAATACAAGGAGGAAATTTGTTGTTTGAGACAAAATTGGCCACTTTGGGGATGAGAGATGTTAGCGCAGAGAAGGAACCGTCTCCTTCGAATTTTTTTTTTCGTGTTTTAAAATTAAAGACATTTTTAATGCGGTTATTTTTTACTGTATTATTATTAGTGATTCTTGTCTGTGGTTTGGGGTAATTTATAATACAGTTTGGAGGAGTTTGTTATAATACAGTTTGGGGAGTCTGTTATAGTACATTTTAACAGTTGTGTCTTTTCGGATATGATGCATTGAAAAAGCTGCGCATGCGCAGAAGTGAAATGCGTCATATCCGAAAAGACATATACTACTATAAAGTCAAACCTCTCTTATATAATAAATTTAAACCTATTCAATATAGTTAATTCAAATATATTCAATATAGTTAAAACAAACATATTCAATATAGTTAATATAAACATATTCAATATAGTTAATCTATCTAATATAATATATTCAAACCTATCTAATAATGTAATAAAGTCAAACCTCTCTTATATAATAAATTTAAACCTATTCAATATAGTTAATTCAAACACATCCAATAGTTAATTCAAACACATTTAATATAGTTAATTCAAACATATTCGATAAAGTTAAATCTTAGTTCGTTCCATATGTTCAATTCAATCATATTCAATATAGTTAATTCAAACATATATTTAATAATGTTAATTCAAAATATTCAATATTCCATATAATTCTTGCATAATTAATTCAAGCAATTCAAATATATTCAATATCAAAGAGGAAATATATGAGATTTTCGTTATCAAAGAAGTCGTAAATGTTAACTGAAAACGCGTTTTAAAATTTGCCTTTTACATCTATGTATCTACTTGAACAAACTGAATTTGATTTGAAAGGGTTAAGTGTGGTAATGTAAATCTTATTGCAAAGAGCCATTAAGACTCAGCATGATATATAACTATATACAATATAATATGTAATATACACAATTCGGAGATAATACAATACTCTATTAATAATATGAATAAAATATAACATGATTATAGAAAAACTCAAGGAATTTAATCCTATTGAATCATTCCTTCGTTTCACATTCAGGAATCTTTATCAAGCATAACATAATAATAGATTATAGAAAAAAAATACGCATAGTTATCAGTTAGACTTGTGGTAATGTAGTTGATCACAGCAAGATAATCTGTCCATCTCATACACATGTACATTATACAAACTGGCCTTGATGATGTGTTTGTTTGTCTTCATATTATAATGTATACAATTTATTTGCTATGTAGACTGTGCTACAAAATCTGCGAATTTAGTGGAAAGTGTTGTAGTCCAGATATAATATCGATAAAACTTACAAAACATCCGGATAGTCAAATATCCCTCCATGTTGTGCAGTCAAGTGATCATACGTGGACTGTTCTGTAGTAAAGGCCTCACAGCAAAGCCAACAGAAATGGATTTTACATGCATTACAAATCATATGGTTACATCCCTCTATTTTCTCAATTGGGGTAGAACACTTCGGACATTTCTTAACGTTTGATGCATTTTTTGTCAAATATTTCTCCAATTCTGATTCAGCCAAGGAACTCTTCAACATAGCACATGTCAAACCATCATGATATTCAACATGGCAGGAGGTGCAGATCCTCATTTCACATTCATTACAGATGAAAATATCCCCCTTCTCAGTAATGCGATAAACCACTGGACAGTCAGGGGTGGGGCAATGTTGGTAGCCATCTTTGTTTTTAGTCATGTACACAAACACGGCTGTATTCACTAAATCTAAAGGATTGATTTGCAGCCGTTTGAAGCAGAAATCAAAATCTGACCAAACAAGTGGGTCTTGACAGTCAGCACACAAGACCGGTAACTCTTTTCTATAAACAGCTACATTTATCTGCTGCTTGATGCATTCGAGACAATATACATGTCCACAGGCGTCTAATCGGTACATGTGGTCCATACTTTCAACTGGACACAGACAAGCACAGCACTCCGGAAACTCCTCCCTTTCCGACTTCGTGGTTTTACTCCTCAGTTCAGCAGCCAATGACTCGATAAATCCTGCAGCCTTTTCCATAGTCGCTGAATCACCACAAATCTTCAGCGATTTATTACGGTGGTTCAAACTAGCAGACTGTAATCCAGACTCTTGTACGAAATCCTCCAGTTCTAAACCATAGCGAGTCACCAGGGTTTTTATCAAGCCTTTTGGCTTAGATTCGCCATCCAGTTTGATTTCCCGACTTCTACCGACTTCAACCATGTTTCGAACATACTGATCAATTGCGTTTTGGGCCATACGTATGTTATTTTCTATTCCAAAAACTCTCAAAGTGAGCTGTCTGTTATCCAGTTGAAAAATGGTATTGGTCCTCTTCTCTAAATTATGAATGAATTTGCGGCCTGATTTCATAAATAAATACCGATTGTTCTCATTGCGCCAACATTCAATTACCTGCCCTCGCATTACGGCTGATAATCCAATCCGGATCTGCACGAGATCATTCGAATTCAAAGCTGATATGTAAAGTACGCGTCTTTCGGTTTTGGATTGCTTTATGTTTACGTTGAATTCGGTGCCATTTTCTTTGGATTCGGCTAAAAAATCTTGAATCTTGTTTTCTAGTAATTGGTAGACATGCTCTGACGCAGATAAAGACGTCGTTAATGTTGGTACAACTTTTGCTTTTTGACCATTTATTGTCAATCTTTCTTGTAAAGCATCACAAGCCATTGTGCCTTGAGAAACATCGTCAAACTTTATGAACGCTTTGAAGTTAATATTATTGTCATGTGGCTTCATGACATCCACAACAAATTTCATATCCTCATCGAATTCTTGAAACTGATCGCGTATCTGTTGTTGGAAGTTTGGAAGTTCGTTCGAATTCGTATAAGTTTTTTCTCTTAAAATGTTGATCTTATTAATTGAATAGTGTGGAAAGCAATTGTGGATGTCATGTTCTGTTATAATTGTTGGCACACCATGAAGACGTAAGGAACCCGGCTTCTTCTTATCCAAAGAGATGCCGCATGATTGGCCAAGTATTTGAACTTCGCGAAGTGACTGCAACGACATCGCCTCCGAATAATCCATTTCCACAAATACTATTCCAGTTGGTTTCCGTCTCAACCACTCAATAGTTGCTTGATATTGAAAGGAGGCGTGTTTTTTAATCTTGAATTCCGGTGCAGCTGAACCTTTAGGATCATCTTGCGTTATTCTTACTGCTTCCGCAGCAGCTTCGGGAGTAGAAAACATCACCCGACCCCAATTATAGTAAGATCGTTTGTCCTCCCAACAGTCTACAATCTGTCCAAATCTTTTAAACTTGTCCACCACCGTCTCCTTACTAGTTTCCTTGTCCCAAGATTTGATGTGGACAGTTCGAAATTCGTCAGGCATGAGAATAAACTGACCTTCACCACCCAAACCAAGGACTATTCGAACTCCACCACCCTGGTTACTCGAACCTACTTTATATTCAGCAGTCCTTTGTATAACGTGACTTCTTGCCTCGGCAATCCAGTCATCTACCAAATCACCAGGTAACGCCGCATTAAATCCGCAGATGAATTTGACTTCCCCAATTTTTCGATCAGCTTCAATGACCACAGGGACTTGTACTGATTCGTATAGTAAATCTTCATAAGCTCTAAGGTTTGTGTATGCAGGACCAACAAAGAATGAATATGTTGTGGAACCGAAAAATTGATTACGAACTGAGCACACTGATTTCCTCTTGGCCTCGTCGATATCAAATTGTTTGGTCTTTAAAAGAGTGACCCACCGAATCCACGATTCCTCTACAGGCGTCACGACGGTAATATAATCTCTTGAAGTCTTCAGAATGTTTATAAACACCACCCACTGACTGGAATCGTTCAAAGCGTTCAGGACAGAGGAAGGATGGATAAAGACTCTCTGCCGTAGGTTAGGAATGTAGTAGCCTATCCTAATGTGGCCCAGAGAATGGGCAATATTAGCGTAAAAGGCAAACAGGATAATTTTATGGAGAGCTTCCTCAAGTTCCACTTCGCTGGAAAAACTTTTCTCTACGTCGATGGACCAGTTATGTTTAAAAATAGAACATATCTCGTTCACCAATTCTCTGGCCCTTCGAAGTGATTTGGAATTAAGGGCATTATCAAAGCACCATTTATTCTTCTTATTCTCAGGCACTTGCTGCCATTCCTTGTAGATCTTTAAATAAGTAAAAGCATCCCCCTTAGAGTCACAAAATGTCAGCTTCTTCAAATCGCTTCGTTTCTTCTGTTGCTCATTGCTGCCGCGATAGAATATTGATCCCGAGGAACTACATAAAGCAGTAAATACGATAGTATCATAGGCGAACCCCATTTGATATCCCTTTTTAATCATACAACCAAATCGCGGCTCGAGGGGAATCTTCACCAACCATTTCCCAACGTCTGTAATCCTATCATCCTTGATGCTACCGAGTTCTTCCAGAGTCTCAATCGCTGTTCGGATCGCCGCATCAGTTGGCGATTCTACAAACTCACAATCGGACGGCTTTAAGTTCATTTCATACAGCATTAACAACGTTTGGGACAAATAAATTCGGAGGATTTCTGGAGTGCTTGTTGGTTTCGTTTGACGGTAATCTGCTTCTGTATACAACCGAAAACATTTTCCAGGAGATACCCGTCCTGCTCTACCCTTCCGTTGATCCGCTGAACTCCGGCTGATCGGAACAACCACTAATGTATTCATGTTCTTCCTTACATCAAACTGCATCTCTTTAACTAAACCGGAATCTATTACAAACTTAATGCCAGGAATAGTCAAAGACGTCTCTGCCGAATTGGTACTAAAAATAATCTTTCTCTGACCCTCTCCAGTTGGCTGGAAAATAAGAACCTGTTCTTCTGGGGGTAGTTCACCATGAAGCACAAGACACTTGAAGTTGAATCTGTTCTTCATCCTGTCCTCAAACTCATCTTTACATTTTTCCGTTTCCATCTGAGTTGTTACGAACGCCAAGATGTCTCCGGGACCTTCCGAAGCATGAACCTCGATAACCTTTGAAACGACTTCTTGGATCGGATTCGTCCATTGATGATACTTGGGTTGCCAGATTATCTCTATCGGAAATGCTCTACCAGAAACTTCAATTACTGGTGCGTCTAAGAAATAACCTCTGAATAACTGTACATCGATAGTAGCAGAAGCAATGACAACTTTTAAAGTAGGTCTTTTGGACAAACAGTTCTTCAGTATACTAAACAATATATCAGTATATATGCTACGTTCATGGACCTCGTCGATCATTAAGCACGAGAACCGCCGGAACATCGGATCACTGAGACACTCATTAAGTAGTGTGTGATGTGTGGTAAAAACTATTTTAGTCTGAGGTGAAGTTTTCGTTCTCATCCCCGCTTTTGATCCGACGGTCTGACCCACAACAGTAACCAACTCATCTGCTACACGTTCAGCTAAACTGACACACGCCACCTTTCTAGGTTGGGAACAAGCAATGAGCCCCTCGGTATATTGTCCACATTGGTGTAAATATTGAACCAACTGTGTGCTTTTTCCAGAACCAGTCTCACCACGGACTATGACCATCTGATGCCGTCGAATAACGTCTAGAATATCAGATTTTCGAGCATAGATTGGTAGAGCAAACTTCAGGCAGTTGCACTCCACTCCAAAACCAAGCACCTGTATCTCCACTTCTGACCGAAACGTACGATCATCTTCCAACAGAATTGAACGACGAAGAGATTTCCGAACCGTTTTTGAAAAACTTGTGAACTCTTTAAGTTGTCTTACGAGCTCTTCTTCTCGCATCTTTAAGGCTTCCTTTTCATCAAACGTACAAGTTTCCAACTGTTTTGGGATGTTGTAGATTTTTTCATGGTGAGTTTTCAAAATGTCAGAAGAATGCAACTCAAAGTCGTTAAAATATTTCTTCAAACTTTCTATGCGCCTGTCTACAGGATTCCAAGTACAAAGCAGATTTTGACAATTTAACTCTCGAAGTTGCTTGAACGCCTGTTCAGCTTTTTGGATGTCGGAAAAGTTCAGGGTTGTGCTTTCAAGGTCCAAGATCGGTTCGTCTTCAATGGATAGTATTGTGCGTTCACTATGGGGGCCCAAAATTGTATCCAAAAGGGTAACCAAAGACACTGACATTTCGACTTTTAGCAGCACAACATAAAAGTTGAGATTTGGTTTTGACTTTGGACAGATTACAATCTTTTGAAAATGTTTGGGGAGATGCTTTTTTCCCATGTTTGCTTTGTCTTTGACAATGGGTGGATTATTCATAGTTGTTGCAGGGTTTTTAGAGTTTAACCCTTGGCGATTGGTTAAATCAATATCTGAGTTCACTGCATTGCTTTTTGATTGGTTCTGACATGATGATTCGTTCCGTTCAGGTGGTTTGGAATGACAAATTTCTGTTTGCAGTGATTGAGCTTCAGAAATCACGTGGTGAGAAGCCTTTTGGTTTGTTTCAGATTTTAGTTTTACATTACTCTTTCGACGATTGGTTTCAGCCACATCCGGATTCGCTGAACTGACTTTTGATTGGTCCAAGTTAATTGTTTCGTTCTTTTCCGATTGCTTGGAATGGTCATTTTCTTCCTGTCTCGGGACGAATTTGGTAGGTTGTGAAGCCTTTGTATGTCCGCTGGTGTCCGTTTCTCGACTAGAGATCGTGTAGGACGTGGGTTAGATGAAACATTATCACAAATCTCACGTGAAACGGGTTTCGGGTTTTCTCTACCTTTCTCGGACTCTGATTTATCCTTGTCAGCATTGTCATACTTTCTCCAAAATGTCTTACGAAACTTAGGCAGTATTCTATCCATTTATCAACCTCTACTCTGCAAATAGAAAATGGAAAATATAGGCGTCACAGTTTAAGACATACACCATTACGATTTAATAGATTTTGAATAAGTCAATATCGAATTCATTTTCCGACATACCACACGACAATAATGCCCATTATTAGGGTTAGGCGAGGCGCTAAGTAGGCTGGCATAGAGTTAGTCGATATAAGATGTTTTGTGTATCGCGATATAGACAATATCGTGATATGGAAAAATTCTGGAAATAAACTCTTTGAAATGTTATAAAGTATCTCGTTTAATATTTCTGATTAATAGTCTAGGTTCTTTAACACATTGTCAAATTTTCATGTTGACATGGTAAAGTAAGCCAAGCAATTTGGTCCTGAGGCTGATGGGGTAGGGTTATTTTCAATTTGACACAATCTATCGAAAAGGTATCTAGTGTTGCATTCCCGTTGTTTTGCATATAATACAGATTATGATATCATTCCCCTGGGAGATACAGGTGCTGTAACATATAAGATTGTAAGGAACACACCATAAATATCTCTTGAGGAACCAATAGTTTTTAGGAAAGGGATTCGTTGTCTAAAGAAGATGGATTTCACCAAATGGCGACAGCCTTATTTATCAAGTAGGTTGCGATTCAAATGTAGATATATTGGAGTCAAAGAAAGTTGTTGTCTAATGACAAGCCTTTAAGGAACCAGGTGACATATTTTATAAACGGTTTCAAAACAGTCAGTATTTTTGTATATTTTATAGAATATAATCCCGAAAGTGTTTCGAAAACAGATCAAGATAAGATTACCGACTGAATTTAAGAATAAATTGATTATCATAGCTCCGTGCCAAAATCTTATGGTCTCGATAACATCGCAACGGTATACCGGTATCGTATCGACCGTTTTTTTCTCATACCGGTTTTTAGTTCATATCTCTAGGCTGGCATAGAAGTTTTGAACAATTTTGTGGCCCCCTACCCGGCCCCTGCCTATATAATGATGCATACTAACGACACAAACAGCCTACTGTGAAAGTTAGCGCTCTGCAACATATCATCGTAATGAATGGCAGCCATTATTTACCGCTACTATGCCCAAAATTTGCAAGTTATTCTTGTAGATCCAACATAAGAGGCAGTTTGTTCACGGTTACAAGTGTTTGTAAATAAAGATAATAAAATAAAACAAGACAAAAAGATATAGATTCAAACTGATAACATAATGAATCATTGGATAACCGATAGTCACAATATAACATTAAAGGGGCATTCCGCTTTTTTGTAAGTCGAAAAATTTAGAGAATCTAGAGAAACGTGTCCCTTAACATATCTGAAAGTTTTAACAAAACAAAAATTCAGCGTTATTTTTTTTTATCGCCCAAACTATTTAAAAACATTACAAAACAAGTATTTTAAATTCGTTACGCTTTTTGGTAGGTGTGATAAAAAAATTGTACGGATTTAAGCAAAATAAACGCCAAACAGTAGAGAAATATTTTCTACTTATTCTGAAGGTCTCAACCAATAATATCGAGCTGTTATAAAGCCAAATACCAAAACTAGGTCAAATTAACAATTAGTACGCTCCGTTTATAATAAAGCCATATAAAACAAATTCAGTTTAATCAGATACATAGATGTAAATAGTATATTTTTTATAATATTTTCAGTATTTTTACTATCACTTGACAATCACCTCTAAAAAAAGAAACAAGGATACAACTTAGGTTCACAGTTAAGGAGTAAATACTGGAAGTAAAGAATCTTGCCCAAGAAGACAACGAAATTCACCATTCATTACTGAGACAGATTCAGTTTTACAGAAGCCGATGTTTGCCGAATGAGAAACGCCAATGATAGCAGATTTTGATTAAGCTTGTCAGTGAGAGTGTCATCCAAAATGTTCTTCCTATGACATGTACAATAATGAAGTGGCTTTCCATAAATTCAACTCCAAGATGGTAAAATCTGACATACCGATAAATATGAGTTGAAGCAGCAATAGGCTTACTACTACAATGCGACATTTTAATGTATAAATGTAGATATTTTTACTTACCTACCTAATGTCAAGTGAAACTGATAATGTTATCAAAATATAGACTTTGATGTGTATCATTGTAACGTAATTTCGTAAAAGAATTGGGAATTTCGTGGAAAGTGGAATAGTCTAGATCATCAAGTGAGATTTAAATGGATGACATACTTTGTTACGGTAGCTCTGGTACTAAAAAATAGACATAACGTCATTTTAACGAAAACAACCGAACTATTATATTATTGATATGGCGATCTCCGTTCAATATACGAGGGTAATGAATACACTCGTATCAATTTCGGGACTATAATGCTTCTAGTTACTTTCGTATATTAAACGGAGATCGCCATTTTGAAAATGAATAGTTCGGTTGTTCCCATTCAATTAAAATATAGAACTAAAAGAAAATAAATTCAGAATCCAAAATCCAATCCGTTAATATGTCATAAATGAAGACAATCCGTAAGATATTAGCACTTCCTGCTTTGCTTTCTATGTATTTCTAAAATAAATTCTTTATTTGGCTAACAATTAGGCATAAAGGCAGTTTTACAAATGAGCCCAGACATTAACTGAACAATTATAACATAATACTATAGTAGTATATACACAATATATACAATCTTCCACTCTATAATATAATTATGTAGATTTCGTTTAAGGTATTAAACAAAACAATCTTGTTTAAAGAAGCACTGGTCTACTCAGAGGAAAGAAGTGAAATTGGAACAAATGAAACTAAAAGCTGGATAAACCTAGCATAAAGAAGTTTTAAAAAGATTGAAATGGTGGGTGGATTTTTTACATTTGGATCCAGAACATATTTTAAATTCTGTTTTACAATAGAGATCCTAGATCTTGGCGGTGGGACAATTCGAGGTAGTCGGCGTGTTAGGAAGATTACTGACACCATCAAAGAAGCAATATTTACCAATATCGATCTCCAATTGAACTTATCTATATTTGCAACACCTTTGTCGTTAAAATCACGACTATAGTTACACTCAATACAATGGCCAAACCTTTTGACCAACGCCTTGTAATACATATTGAATTAAAGAACTAAATACTAATCACTTGATCATTTCGAATTTTTCGAAACAAGGTAATAAGTACGCATTATTTAAAGTGACCTTCGCACCATAGCACAATCGCACAATTAACTTTCGAACGCAACTCAGATGCAACTGGGGTTGGAAAGCAAACCTTTTAACCAATTTTTAACAACTGCTTTTTAAATCAATAATAAAAGTATATCGACGAGGTACTCAGCTCACTCCCTTTTTGGTCACCGAAGTGTTTGTTATAGACCTTAAAACAAAAGGTCCATCGGTCATTCAGTGCTACTCTTGACTTTACTATTTACTGAAAATGGCACTGGACAAAAACATTACTTTGATCTTATTCGGCTTTAAGATGATCAATGGAAGCTCTTGACTCACATAATATTACTTAATTTATGGGCGACGAATATCCTATTCTTTTGTATAACGATTTTACATCTAAAAAATGTAATATCATCCCTGAGCCCTTTCTTTCTGATCGTGAACTAAAATGATACATGTATTTCAAGTGTACATTTTCAGCTCTCCAGTAACAAAACCAAAAGAATGATGGAAAGGTGAAAAATGATAGTGAACATTTACCAACATCGGGCTTGCAGTCCCATGTATACATCAGAATACCCCACAATTTTCCTCTTGTTATGGTACGCCAATGTTCCAGATTTCCCATAACAATTATTCAAAACAAGACACAGAACAACCGAACTTATCAATATGACAGTACTAGTTGACCCTAACAGAGATCGGAAATACAAATAGAGTTATATTATAAATGAAAATAGACCAATGTTGATATCTCCAACTTATTCTTGTTATCTATTCTTCTTTAATTAAACACTCGACACCACAAATCGCCGCTTTTTTTTATCTTCGCCGAAATTGATTTTTACATAATACTATATTATTCGATAAATCTACTTTCAGAAAGAGAGTTGTTTGCATAGAACTGTCTGCAATCATACAACGCCAATGACTGTTCCGTTGTTTCAGTCGATCAAATCTTTACCACCAAGGTTCATGGCATAAAGAAACACACCCAAGACAAGACTGGAAAAAACACCAACAACAGTTATCTCATCGTTCGATTATATAACCAATATTGGTAAAGTTTTTAAACTTGGTCATAATTTGGCTACATTTGGCAATTATTTTTGCTATTTTGCTATTTATTATAGTTTTTGATTCTTGATTTAGTTGGGTTGGGCCAATTGTGAAATGTATTTCGAAAA